AATGTAAAAATAAGGAAAAAAGAAGTTTCTGTTTGTATAGCACCAATCAATGTAATTCTTTCTATAGAAATCAAAGCTGGACAGCTAGGGTTGAAAATACACACGTCTCTTACTTTTTTGGCCCTTTATCATCTTACTTCAAACCTATACTATTTTTTTCCTCCCATAATAGCAGAAGGAGCACTTTTGCTGCTCTTGATTTTTTTCAAGAAGTGGAAGAAGTCTATTTGTCATAATTATGAAAATATTTGCTGTACCCTTTAGAAAAGGGGGAGGGGAGATGTATGAAATGTATCTATTGTGTTCCTTTATAGATAGATTCTGACCTTCATCCACATTGCTAAAAAGCTGTTTTCAGAGCCAGAGCAGAAACCTTGAACATTCTAGATTGCAGGAATACATCTACTTTCATTCCCCATTATTAGAATATACTGTTCTTGGCCATCTGGCTGGCCATCATACTTTCTCAGCATCTTATATGATCTCTGTATTGCATAAAACGCCATTTGCAGGTGTACTCAAATGAACAATCAGAGGAGGACTGGGAACAAAGAAAAAGGTTAGATTTCTTTGACTCAAAATAACCAAGCCAACCTCATTCATGTACATTGCACAGATCACTACAGGAAAGAAGGTAGAGGATTCACCAGTGCTAGAGTTGCATGAATGCATCAGCGCTCCCCAGGTAGAGAGAAAAGGGGATTCTTTATGATGTCAAGGCATATGGCATACCAGGCAATGAGATGAATAGTCTAGGCAGAGAGCAAGGCACAGGCAAGGGTTGCTGTGCCTAATGAAAGGTTAACGCATTAAAGGCTGATGAAATCCTCACAGTGCCATGGCTCAGTGCATCCACTGAATAGGCTGATCGGTGGCATACGCCGTCCTTCCGAGCTGGTGGCCTTCTGCCCTCTGGAGCAAAGCACATCTATCATTCTGCTGTCAGAGAAAGGCAGCTGTGATGAAGCAAGGTTACAGAAAGGCAGAGAGGGAAAGAAGCCAACTGGAGACACAGGGGGAAAAAAAGCAAGTAGTTCTTTCCAAATAATCTCTTAACGTGACTTTGGAACCATACTGGAAGGAATTTAAAATCAAGACAATTTTCACCATACAGACTACCCACTTTTCAATGTATTGTACCTAGGAAAGTTGCAGACTCAACTATGACTGAGTTATGCCCTCAATGATTTTAAAATGAAATTATGTGGAACTATTTATTTATAGTTGCACTCTGGGAACTCTAATGGGCCAGTACTGCAGGGAAAAGAGGCACTTCTCTTTAAGAGCACTGATCATCACCTGGTCCCGATTTCATGCACTGGGTGGGAGGGAGGGAGGGAAGGAAGGGACACACCTGACTGCAGTGCCAAGTCAGAGGTTTCTACGAAGGCTAGGGAAGGCAATCTGAGATACGAACATGACTCTTTTCCTGACACTGAAGCGTTCCCCTTACCTCTTTCCTGATCCAGGACAACTGATCCTAGTATCAGTTGGAAAGGCAGAGGCATGGGCAAGCAGAAAAAGCATTCTCTACTTTTGCTAAAAAAGATTTTCGGGCTACAAGAATTGCTTATGCTACAATCTCATTTACCCAAATGGCCACAGAGTTGCTAGGTTGCAACTAGAAGAAAACATGTTTACCTTCAAAAGCTCCAACAAGCAGAACTTGAGACAGCTGCAACTGCTTCCCCTCATCCCTCCCCCATCCTTTTGCACCTGTACTAGTACAGCACCCAATATATGGAGATGGGGTAGGGGGTGGATGGGGAGAGAGAGAATAGGATATTTAATGTGGAATACATAATTAACATGAGTAAGGTATGAATAGGATGTATGATGGGTTAATTATAGTCAGAGGTTAATACAGCCTGCTGACTTACCATTTCCAGTTTTTTGGGAAGAGCTTATTCCATTACTATGCAGATGTTGGCAATACATCTCTCTTAAGACATTGACATGTATTTCAGACAGCAAGTCTGTCCAACCAGATATGACATCTTAAATGGGCCAGTTTTGATAATTACCAATGCATTCATCAAAATTCATTAACAGCAAAGTAAAGCTGATATGGGAATGTACTGTATACAATAGCAGATTCCTCTAATCAAGCTACTCACTAGAAAAGGAAACTTAGTACATCGTTATAGCATCCTAAATTGCAGAATAAATTAACAATGGCACTAGAAGCATTTTCACAGAGTAAGAATATGATAATCCATTTGGAATAATTCTGTTGGAACATATGTGACACAACCATTTCCAGGATAGTCTTCAAGTGCATTGTTATTAACTAGGGAGTGGGGAACAGTATATTTTTCTATAATTCCAAGCAACAGACATTTGAAAAGGCCATGCAAGCCTGAACAAATTCTACATCCAAGATATCTTTCTTTGGACACAGAAGAGTGTGCAAAATCCACTTGCAAATCCACACAAAAAACAGGTTCTATTTTACTGTTCTGAGTCCCCTGGACCTGTTTAAGTATGTGTAGTTGCCTGGCAACTTTCAACATATCCCTTACTGATTGACTCATGTCTGCCTGACAGCATGGAACTTCAAGGATGCTCTTGATGCTAATTTAACTCTCAATTATGACTGTCAAAACAAACCACTATAAGAGAACTGCAGAAATAACTATCAGGCATGTCAGATTTCACTAAATATTTTCAGGGGAAAGGGGTGTTTGCTTTTGCTCATAATATCTAAAACCCAACAGAAGTTGAATCA